CCCAACATGGGATTCAAACTCACAACCACAACAAGATCAAGAGTTGTGTGCTCCACTGAATGAGCCAGCCAGCTGCCCTGACAGTCACGGTTTTGGTAAAATTTCCTTTAATATTACTACAGCTACCTCAGCTTTCTTTTGTTAGTGTTTGCATAGTAAACATTTTTCCCCACTATTTTACATTTAACCTATTTCTGTCTTTGAATATAAGATGTGTCTTTTGAAGATAGCATAGAGTTGGATCATTTTATGTTTGTTCGTTTGATCTATTCTCCCAATCTCTGGAGTGTTTTATTCATTTACATTTAGTTACTGAATTTAATTATTTAATTACTAATTTAATTATTGAAAAGGAATAATTTACATCTGTCATTTTGCTTTGTTTGTATATATATATTGTCTATTTTGTTCCTCTTTTCCTCCATTGCTGCTTTATTTTGTGTTAAATAAGTATTTTCTAGGATACCATTTTAATGTTCTTTTTTTTTTCTTTCACTATAGTTTTCTGAGTTATTTTCTTGGTGGTTGCCCTGAGAATTACAATCAACAACCTAAGTAATATTTGGATTAATGGTAATTTAATTTTAATAGTGTATAAAGGTTTTGCTCCAAACTAGCTTCATTCCTGTCTCCTTTCTTTGTATTACATCTTTATATTACAAGCTGAATGAATCTTTACAGTTTTATAATTATTGCTTTATGCTGTTATCTCTTAAGTAGGAGAAAAAAAGTATTACAAAGAAAAATACATTTATACTCTCTTTCATGTTTACCTATGTAGTTACTTTCACTAGGGCTCTTTATTTCTCTGTGTGAACTTGATTTATCACCTTTTGCTTCTGCCTCTGCAATTACAGTTTACTGACTATTCCCTCACACTAGACTGACTAATATTAATTGTTTTCTTGGAAGAATGTTGAAGAATATAGAATAGTAGAAAAGACTGTGAGAAAAATTGGGACAGGAAAAGTTTTTCAAAGTTATACTCCCTGGTAAGTTGAAATTTAGTTCAGACTCAAATATCAATTATGGTTCATCCCCAGTTCCTCCAACAATATAAGACACATAGTGGGTGCTTACCAAATATTTTGGAATATTCTGGAATGAGTTCACATGAGTTCACATGATGATTAAAATTTAAATGTTGAACTATCTGAGGTCTAGAGCTGGAAAGAACACTGATAGAGTCACATAAACCAAGATTAAGTGGGTCTTAAAAAGAGGACTTTTAGAGAAGAGTCTGTAGAATTTCCAGACTGACTGAATTCCCTGAGTCACATTGTCAAAAAGAATTTAAGTCATTGATTATAACAAAGCACTGGTTAATTCTTTTAACAAAGCTGAAAGTTCTTGAGAAAGTCAGACAAGGTCACACACTTTGCTCACTAATAATCTTACACTGACAAATTCCAAAGTATGTAACAGATTCCCTGCATCTGTAATTTTAAGCAAATAGGATAGGCCCTCTATTTGATGGCTCACTGGATGTAGCCTATGGCATACATAAGGCTTTGGAACTCTGTTTATAGACATTAACAGTTGGAAATTGAGAGTTGCTCAAGCAGAATTCTACATAATCACCCATTTGGGGTTAATTTACTTTATTGCGGCTGCTAAAGTGAGCTCAGCTGAACTTGTCATTTTCCATTCCAATCTGTTTTGTAAATGTTTTTAGTTTCACAGCCCAAGCATTTTATTGCAAATCTTTCAGATCATATGGTTTGTTCTAACCAGAGCAATTCATCAAATGAATGTGGGTTATTTCTAAACCTGCAATACAATTTTGAACTTACTTTAGAGTTTGAGACATGAAGAACTGTAAGCTTAAATAATGGAGAAATAAACTGGCTGGAGTTTAGTAGTTATCTATTCAACATTTTTTGGAATACTATCTTAGTGCAAGATACCATGTTAAGTGTTGGGGATTCAATGATGAACAAGACAGATTTAGGTACCCCCAAAGAGTTTTAAAGTTATGTCAATCTGTACATAAATGAATAAACAAATAAAAACATCTATTATATGTAGTACACACTTACTAGTAAAAAATACGGAAGTAAGGGAATGCTCTTAATACTGAACATTCCTGGTCAAAATCTCAATCTCAATCTAAAATATCTTCATTCCTATATGCTCATTAAATGCTTTTTCTCTTTGAAGAAATTTTTCAAATTCCAATTTTTCTATGAATAGTTCTCTGAGTAATGAGAAATGGATTCCTCAATGTTCTCTTCTATTGAAATATTCCCAGAACTTTCTCTTATTCTTCTACTCATTTTTTTCTTAGAAAGTATTTATTGAGCAACTGATATGTTCTAAGCATATACAAATTGGAGGGATACAAGATAAAGGCTAGAGTGTACTGTCTTTAGCTTTAGAGTAGAGCAGATAAACAAATACAGAAGGTCATTATAATGTTATTGAAAAGTACCATGAAAATGGGGCACCTGAGTGGCTCAGTCAGTTAAGTGTCCAACTCTTGATTTCAGCTCAGGTCATGATCTCAGGGTTATGAGACTGAGCCCCATGTCAGAGTCTGCTTGAGATTCTCTCTCTCCCTTTCCTTCTGCTCCTTCCCCCTTTTGCACTCTCTCTCTTTCAAAAAATAAATAAAATCTTTTTAAAAAAGTACTATGAAAGGTATCTCTTTAAGAAAGCAGTCACATACATGGATTCAACACATACTTGTTATTTTAGATCTATAAGCAGAATTAGTTGAAATGACAAATAATAGCATATATTATTAAGGCATTTTAATCAATGAGTACTTTCTCTGCTCTAGGCACTTGAATTAATTCATCAAATAAGTGTAATAATTCTGTGAGGTAGATGCTACACAACCCCACTTGAAAATAACAAAAGAGAGGCAGAGAAATTTAAGAAATTGACAAAATTCATGCATCTATTAAGTTGCAGAGTAAGGATTTAAACTCATGCAATCTGGACCTTAAGTCTGTGTTTTTGACTTCTCTGTACTATATCTTCTGATTATTCACTCCTCAGCTTGTAAGAAGATTCCTATCGCCTTATGGCTTGTAGTGTCTTTCTGTGAGAGAAAGATTCTTTCCTTCTCCATGGTTAAGCTTAACCACATGACTTGTTTTGGCCAAAGAAGTATGAAGAGACTTAACATATGCCAGTTCAAAGCAAAGATCGAAGAGACATTACATATTTCTCTCCACTTCCTTGCCCTTTCCCTCAGTCACAGAATGTCATGTCTCAGGAAGTGCTGTTCCTTTAGCCTGAGTTCTGAAATGAGACGGTAAGTAAAGCAGAGCCACAGTCCGTCCTCACTACTGACATGGAACATGAGTGAGACACACTGTTGTTGCAAGCCACATACGTTGTTTTTGTTTTTTTTTTTAATAGCAGAATAACCTAGCAAAAACGGACTAATATAAAAATACTTACCAAGAAGTAGGTGTGATAGTAACAAACACCCTAAAATATGTGATATCATGGCGAGGGGGACAGTGTTGAGGAAACTATCACTGGGATTGGGAAAACACAACTCATGTTCTACAGTGGCACACATTTGTTAACTTAGTTGAAAAGACTGGGGCTTAGAATGCTAATAAGTATTGGTACTGACTGCATTTTTAAGGTTATAAAAGTAATTGTTTCTTTGCAAAAATAGAGGAATTGAAACAATTTGGAATTATAAGATATACAAGGTTGAAAAGTGCAACTACTGCCCATATTCAACCAGTAAAAGATATCCTGAAAGTTGCTTTGACTAACAAAGGTTGAAGGAGACCCAAATTAAGACTCTTCCTCAAAGACCAGATAAAAGGTTTGTGAAGTCTTTTTAATGAATTAAGGTATCCCAGTAAATTCCTTTAGTTGGATAAAATATATCAGAGCAAACAGACTAAGGGCATGGCTTTCCATGAGCCTGATAAGGTCTAAGTACTGGCAATAACTTTAGAGAAAGAAAGAGATATATTTCCAAGAAACATGGCATTTTAAGATAAAGTTTATAAGTACAAGAGGATGAGCTATATTCTTTGTCTAAACTTTTATAAACCATTACACATGTTCGTTGGTAATTTACTTGGAATCATCAATGTTCAGCTTAAGTGTTTTCTGCTCTGAATTAGATACTCCTCTACCACACCTTCTTCTGATCCTCTGGCTTATATTTATTAAGATGATTTTCACTCTGCATCTGACTCTTTCCCTCCTCTAGTCTATGAATTCATCAGTGAATTTGACAGGAGATTTTAGCTTTTTATCAGATACACATGCAAAAGAAATATGGTAAGTATTTGATAAATGAATAACAGAGAATGAATATACTTGTCGAAGTAGCAAAATTATCTAACAAACTACAATACTCCCAAATCAGCATGATATACCATTTCCAAAAGTCTAAAATCTGCCTGATTCTCCACTGTGCTAAAAAAAATAAGATCTTTGAAGTTGGAGGCTTAACACATATAATAAAAGTGTACTACATAAATCTCATATAAAAGACAACATTCTTTACATACAGTCTCAGGAAATGGTAAAGAAATTGTTGTTATTTCTCATACAAAATAAAATTTATAATATTAGTCCTAGACAAAAATCAAGTCAATTAATCACAGAGCTTTACAATTTAAAGTCATTAAGGCAGTTCGTAAAATACATTACCTAAATATCACCCTAAAAAAATGCCCAGACATATTTCTATGACTAGGGTCTCATTATTTCAGAAAATACACAATCCTTTGGTAAGCATATTATGTTGGTTCAGTCTGCTCTTAAATTTTATTTTATTTTTTTAGAGATTTATTTGTTTGAGAGAGAGAGAGTGTGTTGGAGGAGCAGAGAGAAAGAATCTTCAAGCAGACTCCCCATTGAGCACAGAGAGGTGACATCCAGGACCCTGAGATCATGACCTGAGCCAAATCAAGAGCCAGCTACCCAACCGACTGAGCCACTCAGGCACCCCCTTTAAGTTTTATTTTTAAGTGCATTCTATAGAAAACACAAGGAAATTATCTGAAATTACATACCTGGCGACACCAGAGTTTACGAAATATTTGCAGATAGGCCAACACCATAAGACAGAGTGGTGCCATGTATGTCACCAGAAAGAAACAAATGTGATACATCTTGGGGTAAATTTCACCTGGAATGAAAGCCAAAATAATAAAATCTTGTTTTATAATTCACCGATTTTTTTAAAGGTCTGTCTGTCAATGTTTTGCCTTTAAAGTACGCATTTAACTTCTATATGATTTCACTGGCATGTTATATACACACACACATGCACACACACACACAAATACTGTAATATAGTATCAATTGCTTACACTTACTCAGTATACACACACACACTAAATGTGAAGTCTTAATTTTATTTAATATACTCAGAGAGGAATAACAGCCACTTCTTAATTCGTGCTGACACAGGCTATCCAAAGTCAAGCCTTTATTTATCAAAAAAAAATTTTTTGTCTGATTACCTCTGGCTAATTAATAAAAATTAATTTGGATTGTGCTATACTTGAATTGCAATAAGAAACAAGACAATCAAACTTAATTGCTAATGCTTTTGGGAAAAGAATATAAACTGAGTTGATTTCCTTATTAGAATATAAGTTTCCTGAGAAATGGGAAGCTATTCCCAGTTGTACCTCCATATACAAATGTGGAAAAATTTTGGAAAAATAAACACAGTGAACATTTAATGGTTCTCTTTGTTGATTACTATAACAATATGAAATTCTCTTTCAGTATGTTGTGTGTATATATATATGTATATATGCATGTATTTTTAATAAAAACGATATTTTTAGGGATTTTAAAGTTAATTTTTAAACAAATATGATGTTTTATTATATTCACCTCATTTATTTAGTCATAAGGTCCTCTAGGATTGTAGTGATTTCTTATCATTACGTCTATGTACACAGGTGATACATATCACAGATTAGGTATTCAAGAGTCAATTATTAAATTAATAAATAACATGGTGGCTTAATATAATTTTTTTGGCTTTTTGAAGTATATTTATTACTGACTTTTAATTAATTTATTTTTTAAAAGATTTTATTTTTAAGTAACCTCTACACTCAATGTGGGGCTCAAATTTACAACCCTGAGATCAAGAGTCACATGCTCCACTGACTGAGCCAGCCAGGTTCCCCTACTGACTTTTCAAATGTTTTCAAGGATATTTTTCCTATACTAGTATTTGAATATATCATAGTGATCCAGCTACTTTTACTTAAATGCAAAACAGGAAACAATATAACCTACATGGGTTTCATGGATATTAAATGCAGTAATTAGATAGAATTCTAACTGAATGCTAACAAAACAAAGTTTTTTTCCTACTTCTAAAAATTAAGCAACTGAATTTGACTTTGATATTGACAATGAGGTTAGTTCCATACAGTTACTGAGGGATAACGCTATCACCTCCATGCATTTTATTTTTTTCATTGCTTCAGAAAGGGAATATAAGAGCATGAAGACTCAGTTATGTGATCAAATGTGGTAAGGGCAAATTATAGTCAAGATTAACCAATAATAACTATGAAGATGACCACAATAATTGATGTTTATCAAACAACCATTCGTTTAATTGTTACTGAATGTATTTTAAGTGTATCTACGAGTTTAATATCCTCCACAATCTTGATTCCATAGCCTTATCTTCTAGAGTTGGTTGAGTTTAATATTCTACTTAGGCTTCCTTCTAAAACCCTGTCTTCTTTCTCAGGTAGATTTTTTTTTTTCCACGTCATCTCCAGAGGGGCCAGCAGGGTGCCTGTGCTGGCTGGGAGGTCTAAGAGACGGACTTGGGCATTAGTTTTAGCTCTTCTGTGGCCCATGTGGCCCATACCTAGCTCATCAGTTTCTAACTTCCTTTCAAGCTTATCCTGTATAACAGGCCAGTTACAGAAAAAGGGATAGAATCCAAGCAGCCTGACTAGAGGAATGACAGCCTTTCCCTCTGAAGTGTTGCAGTCAAGGCAGGCTTCCGTAAACCCATTTCTGAGGAGCTGGCGAAAGACCTCAGCACTTCCCAGGCACCTGAGTGGCTGTGAACTTTTATTTGTTTTGAGGAAAGTGTCACATGACCCTCCCACATAAAAATATACCTTGGAAGCTGATATACCTGTGAAGCCCTGATGTCCCTATCTCAGACAAAACTGAGTGAGTGGAGGAGGGTAGATTTGAGAGGTAATATTCTTCTTTTTTAATTGCAGCTATGGATACCATCACCGTGATAACAGTTTGGGTTTTAAAGATTTATTTATTTATTTGAGAGAGAGAGAATGAGAGCACGAGAGGGAAGAGGGTCAGAGGGAGAAGCAGACTCCCTGCTGAGCAGGGAGCCTGATGTGGGACTCGATCCCGCTGAGCCGAAGGCAGTTGCTTAACCAACTGAGCCACCCAGGCGCCCAACAGTTTGGGTTTTAAACAGCTGGGAGAGAAAGCTCATTCTGCAGTCAGTATATCTATAAATAGTTGGTAAGATATGTAATTGGCTGGTAAATGCATATTATGATAATGAAGACCCACACAGAAAAGTTGATCAAGTGAAATTACACTTGCAGGCTGGGATTGAATGTCTTAATAAAGAGATTATTATAGATAATTGCGGAAACATGATAGTCTTAACATTCTTCATTTCATGCTTACAGTCTAAGCTAATTGAAAACCCAGAGATGCCATTGGAATTTTAAGTTATATGTGTTGAAACTATCTTTGCAGTCTCTCTGCACTTTATGAACAATGTCTTCAATATATTTAAGACATTTATATATAACCTAGAACATAGTGACAGGAAATTTTTTCCATTTAAGCATTTATACTATAAAACCGCATCTTAAAGATTGACAATCATTCAAAATTGGTGTCTCTACTCAACTGATGAATAGACACAATCTGAATAAATTCTTGCATATATATCAAACCAATAAATAAGGAGAAAATGTGGATCTTTATTTAGTCTCTGAAGTCAGAGGATAAAAAATAATATCATATATTAATAAGACAAGACTTAATCTCAGATGAGTTAGGTCCATTATTGAAACATGTTAATCTCATTATCTAAAAATCTACAAACATTTTCTCTTTCATGCTACGCATATCAGAGACTCAATGGCCGAGTAAATTAAATATAATTTCCCAAATATTCAATATAGATTGTCTTTTCAAAGTTTATAGGTCCATTAAAGTTTACCTGAATTTTTAATATATTTTACTACCTTTTAATAAATGTTTTCCATAAATGTATATATATATACATGTGTGTATATATATATTTCCATAAATATGTGTGTGTGTATATATATATATATATATATATACACACACACATTTCAAAATCTTATAATAGGCCAGATGCTATAATTAGTGTGACTGTAAAGAAGGGCTCCATTATTATTTCTTTCAGACCACCAAAGAACAATTCAGCAGTAAGCTCCAAGAAGAGAGATTATGAATCTCCAGTATCTAGAAAAATGTTTGGCTAACAGTATATGCTCATTAAATATTGGATGACTCGTGAGACACATCTTTAGTGCAAAAAAGAAGTTACTTTCCTTCCAGTAGGAACTATTCTGTGAAACTATGCATTTACAAAGCAAGTAATCAAGGAACTATGGATATAATTCTGGAATAATCTTAAAATTTAAAAGTGTGAATTAATGTAACATATTCAAAAACATACTTTAAAGATCATTAAAATAAATATTAACACATTTTATTTGTTTTTGAGTATCAAGTGTGTCTGCCAGAAGTTAGGATTTGTGGTCTTTTTTTTGAAAAAGCTCTAGGCAATAATAAATATAATGAGTTGCGGAAATGATTTATCCACAAGATATTAAATATTTCTGGTAATATTTTCAGTAAGACTAAGAAAGAGTTCTTAGTTATTTTGTACCATGAGTGAGATAGCATTTGCAAGACTTTCCTAAAAGTATTTTGATAGATATGGATAAAGTGACCACATTGTTCACTGACTCCATCCATGCTGGAATATACTGGTTATAGGACAATTATGATATCACCATCTGCTTCTATAATTATGTTACTGATTTAACTTAGGATAAAAATAAGAAACACAATTCATGAATTAATCTCAACTAGAAGATATTTCACAACAAATTTTTAAAAATTGGGCTAAATGTTTTTGGACTTAGATGTTTGAACTTCAGAGAGCCAACACTGTAAAATGTGATCTCCTATGGACTTTTTAGGTTGTGACTATCACACACATGTCCGAATTTTAACATTTTAAGTTGAACATGGACTTCTAAATAGCCTACATAAGCAAAGCTTATACTATGTAAAAATCATTATAATAAACAGTCTAATGATCAAAATGATAAGAACCTACTTTAATTCTTTCATATTCTTCTTGAAAACATTAAGTGATTAACAATTTCATTTAATATTCAAAAAGTTAATTACATAAATTTTATTGTTTGATTTTGTGGATGATAAACTCAATTTTGTACTGCTTAATTTAAGCCTTTATAATCATGTTAAGTAATTGTGGGTTACTATAAAATCATTTTCAAATATTTTTCCTAAATTACTTCTGAAGGTTGAGTTTAGATTTTTAAATATTCAACAGTAGGGGCTCCTGGGTGGCTCAGTTAAGTGACCAACTCTTGTTTGAGCCCCGGATCCGGCTGTGTGCTCAGAACAGAGCTGACTTAAGACTCTCTCTTCCTCTCCCTCTGCCCCTGCCCCTGCTTGCGCATTCTCTCCCCGTCTCTCTTTCACTAAATAAATAGAATAAATAAAATCTTTAACAAATAAATAAATAAATAAATATTCAATAGTAGTTGCTGGCTCTTTTAAAGAAAATGTCTCTGCTACAGCTAGATAATAAAATGCTAAAGTTTGAAAGGAGTTTTAGATATTTATATTTTTTGCTCAGAGTAATTAGAAAATGATGTAGCTATTTATTTAATCAGAATAACTGACAGGATTCCCTAGATCTGCAATCTTGTTTGCTAATGAAGGTGAATGCTACTTGATTATTCAGGGCAACATTAAAAAAAAAAGAAAGAAAAGCTTATAAAAGCAGTCCACAAACTTAACAACTAATTACCAAAATATTTTAGAGAAAATACTATTGATATATGTTAAATAATAGGTGGGTATTTTACTCTATCATTTTCATAAACTTAAAGTATCCAACTTTTGAGTTGAAAGCTTTGATTTAAATATACTTCTTTGCTTCATAATCTGCAAATAATTTATGGGTCAATTTCATCATTAATTAACTAACACATTCTGATCAAAAGATTTTTAGGCTGTTTTCCAGATAGAATTCATGGTATAAGAATTGCATAAGACATGTCACGATTGGTCCCCAAACCACCTTCTTTCCAAACACAGTTCTTTAGACAGCATATCCCTACATGACAGAAACTAGAGGTTTGGACCCTCTTTTCTTCTACAAGGGATAGTGCTCTTGTATGGGTTTCTTGCTTCTTGGACACCCTTTCCCCTCTTCCCTGTCTGGAGAATTTCTCCTCATCTTTAGTTCTTTGCTGAAATGTTAGCAGCTCCTTTGTAAACTTTTGTTCAAATGGCCAGGATTGAGTTTGTTCTTTCATTTGTGTTCCCAGCACTTTGTATACCAGTATATTAAAATACTAATCACACTATAAAGATTTGTTTATTTGCCTTTCAGTCTCACTACAAGGAATGTGTTTCCCTAGGCAGAATCTATTTCTCTCCAGGTTGGCATAATTCCTGGCGTATCCTAAGTACTCAAGATGTTATTTGAACATTAAATAAATGGGACTTAAGACTCTTAAGAAATACTCTTACCATTTTGGAATTTTCCATTCCTTTTGTTTTTGTCTACATCATTAACGGGGAGAATTGGGAAAAGATAAAGAAGATCCAGAGAAAATACAGCAAGTGAATTGCAAAAAAAAAAAAAAAGAAAGAAAGAAAGGAAGGGGGAAATGTCAATTTCAAAAAGGGCTAGTTAGTTTTGGGGATAAGAGACACAGTAAATTGTGAAATTTTAGTTAATATAAGACTTTGGATAATATATGAAAAATAATCCCAGGGTCTTTTAAATTTTATCTTCTTGTAGTGAAACATATGTCTAATTTTTCAGTTCCTGCCTTTTTGCTTTTCAGTGTTCCAAATCAAAGTATCAAGGTAGGAGTTCATATAAATTCAAAGATTCAAATACTCAAAAATACCAGATCCATAAGCAACCCATGGGGTATAGTGCTTTTGTTAATACATTTTCTAATGCACATAAATGTACATCTGTCCAGTAAACAAATGCTTTCCTAATGATTAAGTTTCCTAACTATGAGCCATTGTTATATACTTATCCAGATGAGGATAGATCCACTTTCCTCAAATTTAATGTAATAATTTTGTAACTAGTACATGACATACTAAAATGCAGCATTAGTCGATTTCCTGTCACTCTTTGCTGTGTCCAGGTTTATGCCATCATCAGGCATTGATAGAAGTGTTTCCACTATTACAGAAAAACCTTCAAAGGCAGCCACTGAGAGTTTTGAACCAAAGGAGCATAAGGCCTCCAAACTTCTGCTTGTTTAAATTTAACTGCCATACATATCAGACTGGAAAACAAAAAGGATTCATAATTAATATAATTCTTAAATCAGAAAATAATTATGCCAGTGATAGCTTATGAGCTTAATATATTATGAATAAACAGCATATGGCGATAATTTGACTCAGAGAAGAGCATAGGTCCACATACTCAACTCCAGTCAGGTTTCCAGCCAGGACATGGGTTTAAAATGAAAATTCCCAGTTGTATCTGAAGCCCATTAAGAAACTTGACACTTGAGGCAATATAACCTCGTACTATCTTGAAAAATGTTAATCATTCCAGAATATGTATTTGGATCGTATAAATGAGCCTTTTTTGTTTTGGAGAATTTACGAAAAGCTGACATAATCAAGTCTGAATTATAGGAAAAGCCTTCCTTCCATTCCCTATCTGAAAAATATGAAAACCAGCTAACGGTGCATAGTAGTTCCAAAGGACCAAGTGGGTGGAACTACTCTGTGAAACTGTTTTGGGTTTCAACCTGGTTTTCATGCTTTTGCAAAACTATATTAACGGGTGTCAATAAAATGCACAAGGCCAGCTTTATAATGGCTATGCAAATCAAATTTCTAGTTTCCAGCTGTAGTATCCATGTCAGCTTATGGGCCATAATGTACTCACCGCCCCAGCGCTCATCACACACCGTAAAGAGAGTGGTTTTATTGGCTAAGCCAGGGAGCATGGTGCTGCACTCCATGACGATGGCCTGAGGAATCATTATAATGCAGGAGACAATCCAGATGATGACAATGCTATTCCTGGCCCTCTTGGCTGTGCTCTTAAACATCAAAGGGTGACAGATTGCATACCATCGATCCAAGGCAATGCAGCTCAGTGTGAGGACAGACACTGACACTGACACGGTCTAGAGAGGTAAAAGAACATAGGACAAGAGAAACATTTGGTGTTAAATGGATCATTCTTAATGTACTTACTGTAGAAGAGAAAGGGTCACACAGATAATCAGATTCAAAGTTGTAAGAAAATATTTCATGTAAGGTTTTTTACTAAATAATATAATACTAAAAATATATTAGGGAAAACATTTCCTATTAAACATGATAAAGGTGCTATGAAAACATTGCAATCACTTTATGCCAAATGTGTTATATGACATATCTTGCTTTTAAAATAACCATGAGAGACTATGGACTCTGAGAAACAAACAGGGTTTTAGAGGGAGGGGAAGGGGGGATGGGTTAGCCTGGTGATGGGTATTAAGGAGGGCACATACTGCATGGAGCACTGGGTGTTATACAAAAACAATGGATCGTGGATCACCACATCAAAAACTAATGATGTATTGTATGGTGACTAACGTAACACAATAAAATTTAAAAAAAATTTTAAAAAGTGGCTAAACACCTTAAAAATATATAGAAATTTGATTGCAATGCATTTAATTAGCATTTTTTAAAAATTATGGATAACTCAGTCTATATTTTCAAATAACAAAGGCTATTTGTACATTGGTTCATTTCCAGCATGTTGCACCCAAAGGCAGGAGTTATGTTAGAAGCGAATTCTGTATGGATCTCCTCACCAGAGTTTGCTTATTGCTGGTGTAAGCAACTCACCTCTAAAACTCAAGTAGGTTCACCTAGTCCAGATTTCCATAATTAATGCCATCACAAGTGATACTTTAACTTGGTACTTTAAGGAAATAGTAAAGATACATGTTAAGCATGCCTATACCCACATGACCAGTGTATGTAATTATATGTAATATAACTCCTATCCTGGATGAATCATTGATTCTGGTATCACTCTCAAAATCCCATCTTTAAAAACCTCCTTCCCTTTTCCTTTTTTCTTAGTACTTACAATAAATATTATGTGATATAGTACAATTATTTTTGTTTAACTTATTTATTGTCTGCCTTCTCTATCGGAACAAAACTCTGTAGCAGGAGGGACTGCTACTGTTTTTATTTGTTTATTCTCACAACTGTGTCACCAGTAACTGGCACAATGTTTGATGGGCTTAATAATTTTTTTTTGAGTTAAGGAATAGTTATAAGCCTCAATCTAAGGTAATAAAGGTGGTCCGGTCCTCTCATTTTTCTGTCCTGGTTGTATTGATCCCACCCTATGTGGAAGGGTAGCCATCTCTGTTTCTTACCTCAGGACCTTCTTTGTGGATGCATTGACTTTGGGTGCATATGACTGAAAAGGATCTAGGAGCCTGGGCAGTACAGGAGAAAGGTCTCTGGGCTAAGTGTCAGGATGATCAATCTGTTTTCGCTTCCCACCAACTAGTGCAGTGATGGCTTACCCATTTTATAGGTTTGTTTTTTTTTTTAAAGATTTATTTATTTATTTGAGAGAGAGAGAGTGCACATATGTATGTGACAGGCAGGAGGCAGAGGGAGAGAATCTCAAGCAGACTCCCTGCTGAGCCCAGACCCTGACATGGGGCTCAATCTCATGACCCATGAGGTCATGACCTGAGCAGAAATCATGAGTTGGGCACTTAACTGACTGAGCTACCCAGGCACTCCATCCATTTTACAGTTTTAAGCCAAATGCTTATGTGTTATTATTTTTTTCTATTAAATGAGTGAAACTGACAGGATACAATTCTTGTTACTCTGATTCTTTTGATTCTAATCAGAGGGGGAGACGAACCATGAGAGACTATGGACTCTGAGAAACAAACTAGGGTTCTAGAGGGGAGGGGAGTAGGGGGATGGGTTAGCCTGGTGATGGGTATTAAAGAGCGCACGTATTGAATGGAGCACTGGGTGTTATACACAAACAATGAATCATGGAACACTACATCAAAAACTAATGATGTAATGTATGGTGATTAACATAACATAAAAAAAAAAAAGGCAGTATAGTTGAAATCAATTCTGCAACTAGGTTTCCTGGGCATGAATCCCACCCCTCTTGATAAATGTATGATCTTGGGTAAGTTCCTTAACCTCTCTATATCTCGATTTTCTCATCTGTAAAACTGGATGATAGTAGTACCCAAACATGGAATTATAGGGAGAGTCAGTTGAGATGTGAAATGGCTAGGCCTGGCCTGCCCCGTAAATGCTATGTAAGTGGTTGTTATTACTTATTATGATTATGGCAATGATTATGGTGATTATACTATTACTTTTCTCTTCCATTCTCAAGCTTGTCAGTCTAGTTTTTAATTAGAATGGACTGCTTTTTAGTGAGGAAAAAAAAATCACAGAAATTACAAGTAAAAGCCTAAACTATGCTAAATTCTTGGAGGTTTAATTGCATTTTAAATGTAACTTTAAAGGCTGAACTCTATCAGAGAGGGTTTAGATGTGTTGATGACTCCTGAAATTTACTTGGTCCATGTTAGAGCTAATTGACGTGTCCTTCTCAAATCAACCCTTTTCCTTCCAACTCCCATTTCCCCCCGTAAATATGCCAAGCACTCAGGGCCCCTCAATACTATTGGTAACTTGGGAATAGATCTGTGGTAGTCTAGACCTGCACAGCTGACCTTTCATAGTTGCTGGGCCGGGGCTATATTTATCCAATCTAGCTATCAGAATTGTAAAATGCTCAGCAAGGCTTAGTGATTTATTGTTCATGAATTCTAATCAACATGGGTGAATGGGATAGAAGTAACATGGCTCAAATTAAAAAGTCATTTCTAGTATTTTCCTTTACTATTAAATAGTAATTATCAATTAAAAACAGTTCACTTGAAAGACTGCCATCCAGTGCCAACAGTGAGCCAAAGAGCAGTGGTTCTCTGTTATGTGGCTACATGAGAGAATATGCTGACATGGTTAATCTAAGAGTAGAATTCATTGAATGGACCCGTGGCAATTGGTGATTTAATATTCACTGTTTGACTACTGTATTTGCTGGTGCATAATACACACTAGCATCCAATTAACAACATTTTCTTGGGGGGTATATAAAATGGCATCTTATCCCAAGTGATTACAAATCACAGTTTCTTGCTGCTTTCACTTCTAGGAGTGCACTTCTGTGTGCCTTTTTCATTTAGAGTTTGATATTAGCTTAAATCAACCTGGTAGCAAATCATTTGAGTATGAGTCCAGTGGAGATTATGAATGTTATAAACAAAGTGGGATAAGATGATGTGAACTTCTGCTGTTAGGTGCTTGACCTTTCACCCATAATGCGGGCACCCTGTAGTCTGGGCAATTCTGGAGACTTGCTTCAGTAGATGATGATTCTGTTCTATGCTAGCATATAGCTATGACAAAAAGTCCTCAGAGATCCATGGCAAGTAGAAATGGAAATTCGGGGGCACCTGGCAGACTCAGTCAGTACAGCATGAGACTCTTGATTTTGGGGTTGTTTGAACCCCACATTGGGTAGAGAGATTACTTAAAAAATTTTAAAAACTAAAAAAAAGAAGAAAGAAAAGAAACAGAAATTTTGCCACATCACAGATTTGGACACAGGCACTGAAAGATTGGAAGGTGGGAAAGGGTGACTGAGAGTGAAGGAGCCTATTCCACCACCCACCACCCACCACCTCCATTTCAGGCGGCTTTTTGTTCTTCTTTTCCTGACATTTCCTATGCAGAGCTTCTTCTGCAGTTGAAAAAAAAAAGTCACTCTGAAAAAGTAGCCAACTGCTCCTATAAGTGTGAGAGAAAAAATGATGTTATAATTTTCTAAGAAATTCATGTTAATTATTCTGTAAATAGTCCAGTAAATGTTAATGGTTTTGGATTTATAGAATTATTAAAGATACAAAAGGGTCATTTGAATTATTCAGCTAAGCTTTATTACATTTGTGAGATTTTTAGGATTTTTGAGCATTTTGTGAAGTGTTATTGTAGATCAGTCATAAACCTAAAGGTTGTATTATATTGTATTTAGAAGAAAAAATGGCATATAAGTCATAGAAAATTAATGCATGTCCAATAAATCTTAAATACAACCGAATAACCTTAAAATCTGGCTGGATAAACATTTCTGTAATAATTTTTTAAGCATTCAGTGGGACAGAAGTTTCATATCAGGGACAAAAGCCATCAGTTTCAGAATATCACTACTAAGGGAAAACAACTTCAAATTTGAATGAATGGCTTATTGTCCATTGATATTGCTCATTCCATTTGGGGAAATTCTATGGAAAATGGGCAATAAATGTTAAGAGAATTTGGAGATACTAGTTTTACCAGTGCCCCAAGTTTTTTGTGCATTTATAACTTTTCATCAAGAAGTAATGCTGAATGAGGTAATGAACGGATCTAGTCTTTTTTCATCTGACTCAGATCTTGTGGTTACTCAGTAGTTTTTCTTGGCCTATGGAGGAGAGAATCAACTGAGGTCTTGACTAGACAGGACACTATTTACAGAGAAGCAAACAAAATCTCTCAGGAAATGAAGATGTTTTATCACTGTAGGACTTGCTAATAAGTTGTGCTAAATGCAATTGTAATGTCAATAACTTTAAGAGAGACCCATGCCCTACATCACTCACTGGATACACACTGCATCCAGTCTGTCTTTGAGTGCTCATAGGAGAGTCTGGAATACCTGGTATATAAGAAGTTATCATTGTGCTTTAGAGCAGAACTATACCTACTACAGGGTGATGTACTCCTCCCTCATCACCCCACTGTTCACTGGGGAATCTTCTGGTTTGTAGAGAGAGCATAGAATATTCTCACTTAGCCAATAGAAGAATCTGGACAACTGCCTATATCTTGAAACTTAAGATGATCCCTCAAATTTTCCCCTGGGTGGTTATTAAAATCAAGAGATGGTAAAATATTAGAATTCTGGGCTATTTGCAATTTCTCCAGTGTCTCCATGCAAAACCATAAGACCAATTTCTTACTGATTTTTTTAAATAAGGATACTTTCCTCTGTTGCTCAATGTACTATTTATCTCAAAACAGAAAAAGTTACTGAATTTTATTTTTGTAACACATTCATGGTTTTCATCTGACTGACACAAACTAAACTTATAGCTAATGTTTGCCAAAAAGCTTATAATGTCCATGGCATTTTATACTTTCTATACTGTCAATGATGTCTAATCTAATCTTAAAAATTATCACTTTTACTTATGAGGTTATTGAAGAATTATTGGGGTAAAGATCTCTTCATAACACTTCAGGTCCAAAAGCTTAATCAATATGATTTCTAGCAATGGGTTATTTGTGTCTTCTCCAACTTTTGTTTTTTATTAAAACTTTACTTTGGGGATACATTTAAGATCACAGCAAAACTGAGAACATACAGAGATTTCCCATATACTCCCTGTCTCTCCCATTATCAACATCCCTCCACTAGAGGGGTACATCTCTTACAATTGATGAACCTACATTGATACATCATAATCATCAGAAGTCCATAATTTCTACTGTGGTTCACTCTTAGTGGTGTACATTCTATGTGTTTAGAAAAATGTATAATGACATATATCCACCATTATACTATCATAATCTGTGCTTATCACTTCCTACCTCTGGCAACCATTTATCTTTTTACTGTCTCTCTAGTTTTGCCTTTTCCAGAATGTCATGTTATTGAAATCATACAATATGTAGCCTTCTCAGCTTGGGCTTCTTTTACTTAGTAATAAGCATTTAAGTTCCCCCGTGTCTTTTCATGGCTTGACAGTTCATTTCATTTTAGTGCTGAATGATATTCTACTGTCTGGATGTACCACAGTATATTTATCCATTCACCTACTGAAGGACATCTTGGTTGCATCTAAGTTTTGGTGATTGTGAATAAAGCTGCTATAAACATTTGTACACAAGTTTTTGTGTAGACATAAGTTTTCAGCTCCTTTGGGTAAATACCAAGGAATGCAACTGTTGGATCATATGAAGGGAGTATGTATAGTTTTATAAGAAAACTCCCAGAGTGTGTATCAAAGTGGCCGTGCCATCAGCAATAAATGAGAGCTCCTATTACTCCACATCCTCACTAGCATTTGGTGTTGTCAATGTTCCAAAATCTGGCCATTCTAATAGGTATAAGGTGGTATTTCATTGTTATTTTAATTTGCATTTTGCTGATGATATATGATGAGGAGCATCTTTTCATACACTTCTTTACCATCTGTATATCTTATTTGGTGAAGTCCTGTTAAGGTCTTTGGCCCATTTTTTTATTGAGTTATTTGTTTCCTTATTGTTGAGTTTTTAAGAGTTCTTTGTATGTTTTGGATGTCAGTCCTTTATTATATGTATCTTTTGAAAATATTTTCTCCCAGGTCTTTGTCTTTCCATTCTCTTGTCTTTCACAGAATAGAAGATTTTAAATTTAGTGAAGTTGGCTTATCAATTATTTCTTTCAAGGAACATGCCTTTGGTGTTCTATCTAAAAAGTCATCAATATAACCAAGATCATCTAGGTTTTCTTCTTTGTTATCTTATAGGGGTTTTATAGTTTTACATTTTATACTCAGGTCTACAATACATTCTGAGTTAATTTTTGTGAAGGGTATAAGGTCTGCGTGTAGATTTTTTTTTTTGCATGTCCAATTGTTCTACCTGCACCAATTTTTCATTATTGGGAGCATATTTTCATCCCTTCCAAATACTGTGATCACCATCTGGGAGACTGGATGGAGTAGGGAATGTGGGGTGGGGGATGGTTACAGGAAGACAAGCAGAGAATGGCATGATCTCATTCACTGTCCAATTGCTAAAGAGAATCCATCTCTTTGAGGGCTGTGGCTATGGCCACTAGCTTAAAAACATTTCACTTTCAAAGATTTAGAACTATCAGAATATCCACAACAAAATTATTCTCTGAAAGCGTCTGTTCTCAATTTCTTATAGGACAATTCACTGTAGAAAAGCTACTTTCACACAGAACAATAAAATGTCTAATGATGTTGATGAGGATGATGATGACTGATGTTTGTTGAGAATATACTATATTTTTATAAGATCATCATCTTCCAGAGAGTAATCACTATGCCAAGTACTTTATATAGATTAGCTAAGGAAAATGTCATAACCATAGGAGTTAGCTATAATTAAAATTATTATCCTCTAATAAGTGAATCACAAAGAGCTTGTGTATTTGGCTCAATAGCATACATTCAATAAATAGCAGAACAGAGATTCCAAACCTGGTAGTATGATTCAGAATCAACACTAAAATCTGTTCACTGCTTTGCTTTGATCACATAGCTTTAATTTCTCAGGGTGAAACAAAACCACTTATAAAAATAGACAGACCTTGCTTATTTGAACTAGAAGAGGCTCAATCATTATTTGTTCAATTTCCTTATTTTACAGTGGGAAAATTTGAAATCAGAGAAATAAAAGGTTTATTCAGCATCTAATGATGACTTGAGGATTCTGTTGTTTTATTTTTTACCCAGAACTTAACTTATTTACCCAAAAATTATCAAGTATTACTTTTAAGTTTGCTAATTCCAGAAGCAGGTATATTTCTCTCTTAGCTCACTAATTAATTTACCAGATGATTATAACTGAAAATACTTTTCAATCCTTAATTGAAAATACTTTTTCAGTAGCTTCTGTGTTTGGATAAAAAGAAGTGTGAAAAACAATTACCTGTAAATATGGAATAACTTTACAGAGGGACTGTCCAAAGAACCAGGTCTCAGTGATGTCTACCACCAATGTGGCTGGAAGGCAGGTAATGGTCACGAGCACATCAGCCAGAGAAAGGTTGACTATGAAGTAGTTGGTTACCGTCCTCATGTGGTGGTTCTTCCACACTGCCACACAAACTAATTTGGGGGAAAAAAAAGAATAGTTACTATTAAGGACTAAATATTTTTGTCCTCACAAAATTCATATGTTGAAATCCTAACACCCAGTGTGATGGTATTAAGAGGTGGGTCTTTAGGAGGTGAATAGATCATGGTGTTAGAGCCCACAAGAATGGGATTAGTGCCGTTATAAAAGGGACCTCAGAGAAATCCTTTGACTCTCCCACCATCTGAGGACAAAGTGAAAAAAAACTGCTGGCTATAAAACCAGGAAGCTGGCCCTCACCAGACATTGAATCTGCTACAGCCTTGATCTTGGACTTCTCAGATTCTAGAACTGTGAGAAGTACATTTATGTGGTTTATAAGCCACTAGTTTATGGTATTCTGGTTATAGCAGCCCAAATAGACTAAGACAGTAACTATACAAAGAAAAGAGGTACCGATTAGGAAACACTGCCAAGCTAATTAATGCTCCTGTAAAGACCACAAATAAATATTGAAAAAGGAAGATGATTTAAGGCTGTACTGTTTTCATTGAATCAGTCAGTTTGTGTGAATGCTGAGTCCATGCTTACCATCAGTTCGTTTACCTTACAAGACATTTCTCAATGGATCATAAGACTGCATTAATTTCTACTTGATTTTGAATTGTGATTCCCAGAAGCTGAGGAACAATCTTTGATTCTTCTTTCTATTCCCTCAGTGCTCAGCATGTAGCAGAGAGTCAAGAAATATTTACCGAAGTGAGATGAATTAGGAGCTAGCTATTTTCAATGAACTGTAGTGTTTGCCTCAACCATGATGTTTAACCTATCTACTCCCAAACTCTGCATTTGGAACTTCTAATTGATGAAGAGGTTTAAAAGACAAAAGCCAACAATTTTTCAGCCCCTATTATTGACGAACACTGAGCTACATGGTTCATATACTTAGGTCGTTTAATCTTGACAATCCCAAGGGAAGACATTGTTACCATCATTTTATATAGGCAGTAATTGAGACACAGGGAATTCATGGAGCTTGGCTAGGGACAAATGGCTCATAAAGCACAGAACTACAGCTACAACTGGGGATTCAACACCAAGTGAGGTGTTGCTTTTTTGTTGGGGGGGTGGTGAACCAGTTATAACAAAACACATATATACTCTAGAGACTCAGTCCTCTTTCCTCTCTATTACTCTGGATGGCCTCTAAACATCACCTCAAATCAAACACATTTTTCAATACTTTCTGGGTTGAGCCTTCCTCATTGTCTTTCAGTTTATCTTCATTTTTAAAAGCCGTTCTATCTTATTCAGTTGCTCTTTATGGAAAGAACATCCAGTTCCTCAATTCTCTGTTTTTCTCTGTGTGGTGTATTCAAAGGTTATATGATCACTGGCTCAAGAATTATATAGGTGTAAGCACTGTTACCCACATCTATTGATGGATTGCTTCACTGACAGTAACTGCAAATTTGCCTTGGGTATCATCAAACTGTCAGAGCTGTCACCTACGCACCCAAATGATGCAGTGATTCGTAACCTTATAGAGTGGAGAAATAAAAGCACATTTTGTTAAATTTAAGTCACTAAGTAAAGATTTCTTTTTGACAATTATGTACTGCTTATTAAGAGTTTCATATGCTGAAGAAACTGAAATTATCTTCCAGTCACCAGCATATGCTAACTTAATAAAATCCCTGAATTCCTGAGGATTTAATTTTGAAAACTTCACATCTTTCTCTAATTCCAGAACATTAGTACCCAAAAACTCAGATGAACTTTTTAGGGTAAACTGTAGTCTTTACTATTTGAAAGTGATAATGCTGAATGATTTACTTCCCAGAAACACTTGAAGACACACACACACACACACACACATACACACACACACATCGGCACACTCTCAGTTGACTAGCACATTATCATAGCTTGTTATTAGAAAATTGATATAAGTCTCACACCACTGATATTTAGTCAACAAATGGTCCAAATGGTACAATTTTGGATCTAGGAAAGAAAATAAGACTTAAAAAAATATAAGCAGTTCTAGATTGACTCCTAATTCTCCATATTTTGGAAGTGAGGCAATGATGCAAAGACAGTGTTGATGCCTTATGACTAGCCAATATGACAAAAGTATATTTTCAAGAAATATTTCTATGCTATTTACTATGTGTCATGCCCTGTTTTAAGCAATGTAAATTATTAACTAGTTTCAGTCTCATAACACTATAAGTGATTACCATTTTATCCCTGCTTAACAGTTGTGAAACTGAGGCTAGAGCGGTTAAGGAAACTACCTAAGGACAAATAGTTTGTAAGTGCTAGAGTTTATTTATTTAATTTATTTATTATTTTTTATTGTTATGTTAATCACCATACATTACATCATTAGTTTTTGATGTAGTGTTCCATGATTCATTGTTTGTGCATAACACCCAGT